TACATGCAATTGTGCTCTCGACTCCTTATGTATTCAATGCTCATATAACAAGACCCTTTCCAATAAGGCACTTTCGGGCGAATAAATAAATAAATGACTTGTCACCGTCTTTAACAGTTTTATTAATCATCTTAACTATTTTCTCATATGCTGCAGATTTGTTGCGGGTGTTGAGTAAATGAAAAGAAGGTGTACTTGATGAAAGCCTTAAGTTACAGAGATACGATGATGACTGCTGTTCCCTTTGTTTCTTAAAATTAATCTGAGCCGAGTTAATCTGTAACACGATTGACAGTATTCTTGATTAAATGTGCAGGGTTTGTTATTAAGCCTCGTAGCTAAAACCCTGTCATATTCAAAGCACAGTTATTCGTGGCTGAGATGACTACGGCGGAGATTTATTATCATACATTTTCCTATTTCTTATCCCTGAGAGGATGTACAGATATCTGGGTGCTGCCGGCCCTCTTGAACTTCATGCGATCAACAACTTGGCGAGCCAGCCAGGAGGGCGTGCATCCCGCGTCATTGCGATCGGTTGATCAAGCCGGGAGCCCATCGGGTAAACCGCTCTAAGATAACCTGGACAAAGTTAACATTGGTCGGAGCACAGGTAAATTTGTCTGTTCCAGTATAGGTTTAAATGAGCAAACTAATCTGGTCGGAGAAAAATTGCTTTCAGTTCTGTGTGTGTGTGTATGTGTGTTAGATAATTTTTGCTGTTTTACTCTTCCCCAGTTCAAGTCTGGAAAAGTTATTGACTCGCCAGTTGCAAACTGAATTTTGCTAGGTCTCCGGTTCAAGTCTGGAAAAGTTTACCGTTCGTCATAAGTCCGAAGTTTGAGCCAGTTCAAGTCTGGAAACCTGCTGACTTGGTTTTTGTTTTATTGTTTTACTTCACTGTTATCTCTTATTGCTCACCAGTTCTGGTAGATACAAGTGTTTCATTTGTTGTGATTTCCTTAGTATTTATTGCCTGCCAGTTCAAGTCTGGGAGGTACATTAGTGTTTTTATTCATTATTATTATTATGTTATCATTGTATTGCTATTGTTTTTGCTGTTTGCTGTTTTATAAATATTGTTGTTGCATTGTGCATTGGATATTATTGTTTGTTTTCCTGATTATATTTGTGTCTGCTATAATAAATCTTGTACTGTGATCACTGTACCACAACCAAATTACTTACAAATTGGCTGTGTTTGCACCTACTGATCAAGTCCAAGTTACAATTGAATCCCCGGTAAAGCTAGTAGTGCAAACATTTTGAAGCAGTAGTACAAATAAATTACATTTCTATTCTCACTGCACGTGATGGTGAACTTTACTGCAATCATATTAATCAACTGAATTGTTTAAAGAAACGGGAGATTGTCTGTTCCAGTATTTCAGTGATGCTCCAAGCCAGCAGGCAAGGATAGAGGGAAAACCCACTGAAATATTGTTAAAAATTTCAGTGGCCAGTTTATGTTAATCAGGATATTACTGATTCACTCCACTCGGAGGCTCCGCTGTTGAGATTATCCGCGTGTGAGAGTGTGTGTGTCTCTCTCTCTCTATGTGTTTGCGAGTGTCTCTGTGTGAATATGTCTGCGTCTCTCTCTCTCTCTCTCTCTCTCCTCTGTATGTATGTGTTCTAAGCGCTCTGAGATGCCACCCGGCGTGGAGGGCGCTATATAAGTGCAAGTTGTTGTTGTGTGAGCGTGTTCTGTCTGTGTCTCTTTTATATATGTGTGTGGGTGTGGGTGTTTGAGTGTCTCTGTGTGAATGTGTATGTGTGTGTGTCTCTCTCTCCGAGAATGTGTGTCTCTTTGCGTCTGTGAGTGTGTGTGTGTGTCTCTGGGTCTCTGTATCATGTGGATTCGGGGTGACACAATGGTGGGGAGGTTACAGTGGTTATTTGAGTGGGGAGGTGGGGGTAGCACAAGCGGCTTCTAGAAAGTTTGGAGGGTGGTGCGAGCTGCGTCGCGCAGCCGTGAATCAGAGAGGTTTTGGCCTCTAAGCAGAGCTGCCCGAAAAATAAAAATTCTATAAAAAATGACAAATAATTTCACAGGGCTCTACACTTTGGTGATTCATTCAAAGCCTATTGGCTCCCCATCCCTCAGAGGATAGAATTCAAAATGCACTTTTGTAGTTGCTTTCGTTATTTGTACAAGTCACACAGTGTAATGCGAATGCTTAATATTTTGGGAGGAGAAAATGTTCAGAAGAAAAGTTCAGAAGTGTTACTCAGTCATAATACATCCGAGAAAATTATTTATAGACTTTAATTTGTAAGTCCTCGTCATTAAATGTGCCTCTGACTGTCTACTTCTGATTCCCGTGTCTGCTTCATGCCTAATTGAACACGTTGAAGGGCCTCAGGTGTAATAGAAGCAATAGAGTATCACAGGGCGATTGGGAATTCTGTACTTAATTTTACAGTCAATGTCACGTGGTGTTGATCCCAGTTCCCGGATTCGTGTTTTTATGTGGATTTTTAAATGAACGTATAGGAAATGATTTCAGACTTCGTTTTTAAAAGAAGCGTCTCGCACAGTTAACCAGCGTCGAGCGGGAAGAATTCCACTCCCAAGCAACAGGAGTGCTCCTCCGAATCGTGCTAATGAATTCGTAAACTTGGTCTGTCATGTTTGTTAAACACAGCCTTGGGGAGGTGCTGCAGACCTGGCTCAGGTACAATGGGTCTATTCAGACAACAACAGGATCAAAATAACCTTGCCAGGTGCGTCACCGCGGAGCCAACCGTGCCATGAGACTCCACTTACCACTCCCTTCCGCCGCATCAACCATCTCTACTCCCATCCAACGTTAAGCGCTGCCAAAACCTTTGGAGCGTCTTTGTCACTGCTGCTCGGTAAACAGAGGCGTGCGTGGAGTAAGGAAACCTGCCCAGCATTTCGCCCTGACCGGGAATCAAACCCAGGTCCTCTCGCTTGCGGGGCGAGCGCTCCAACCACTGAGCTCCAGGACTCCGCGAACCTGCTCGGCGATGGAAGACCAAGGTCCGTCCGGTTCGCCTTCCACCAACCCGGCAGCCGCTTGACACGTCGTGTCCCAAACGTTTACACCGTTTCCCCAAGATGAATAATTTTCCAGCGGAAATCCATCTAATGTGTGCTTGACACAGAGAACGTTTACCGCTTCCGCTGTCCGTCTCCCAGGGGTGGTGGGGGGGGGGGGGGGGGGACGCCGTAAATAATTTTAAGACCAACGAGTCAAAAAAAAGCCCAGCCCAGCTCCCGCTGACGCACCACTCACTGACTCGTGGAGTCCTGTCGCTCAGCGGTCAGAGCGCTCGCCTCGCAAGCGAGAGACCTGGGTTTGATTATAATAATAATAATAATAATAATAATCCTTGCATTTGATATAGCGCTTTTCACGTCGGGAGGACGTCCCAAAGCGCTTCACAGAGTACACTGTAAAGTGAATTGACTGTATATTTGTGGGCGAACGCGGCAGCCAATTGCGCACAGCAATGTCCCACAAACAGTCGTGGATTGAAAATGACCAATTTATTATTGTTTGTGGTTTTGGAGGGATTATTATTAGGCTCTGTGTGGAGTAAGGAAACTTGCCCGAGGTTTCGCCCTCTGCCTGGAATTGAACTCAGGTCTCTCGCTCGCAAAGCGAGTGCTCTAACCACTGAGCTACAGGACTCCACGGCAGAGCGAAACCTCGGGCAAATTTCCTTACTCCACACACGCGCCGGAGAGTGATCCCTCGGGGGGGGGAAAAAAACCACAATAATAAATCGGTCGCTTCAACCCGGACCTGTTTGCGGGGGACGCGGCTGTGGCTGCCGCGTTTCGCCCCGAAAATACAGTCAATTCGCTCTGCAGTATGTCCTGTGAAGCGCTTTGAGACGTCTCGAAGACCTGATGGGGCGCGATATCAAAGGCAATAATTATTATTATTATTATTATTATTATTATTATTATTCTCTTGAGAACCTGCCCAAGTTGGGCCCCGCCCACAACCCCGCACTGAGGCCCCGCCCACAGCCCCGCACTGAGGCCCCGCCCACAGCCCCGCACTGAGGCCCCACTCACAACCCCGCACTGAGGCCCCGCCCACAACCCCGCACTGAGGCCCCGCCCACAACCCCGCACTGAGGCCCCGCCCACAACCCCGCACTGAGGCCCCACTCACAACCCCGCACTGAGGCCCCGCCCACAGCCCCGCACTGAGGCCCCACTCACAACCCCGCACTGAGGCCCCGCCCACAACCCCGCACTGAGGCCCCGCCCACAACCCCGCACTGAGGCCCCACTCACAACCCCGCACTGAGGCCCCGCCCACAACCCCGCACTGAGGCCCCGCCCACAACCCCGCACTGAGGCCCCGTCCACAACCCCGCACTGAGGCCCCGCCCACAACCCCGCACTGAGGCCCCGCCCACAACCCCGCACCGAGGCCCCGCCCACAATCTCGCACTGAGGCCCCGCCCACAACCCCGCACTGAGGCCCCGCCCACAACCCCGCACTGAGGCCCCGCCCACAACCCCCGCACTGAGGTCCCGCCCACAACCCCCCCCACTCCGCACTGAGACCCCGCCCACAACCCAGCACCGAGGCCCCGCCCGCACGCCACGCACGGAGGCCCCGCCCCGTCAGCCTCCCGCCTTCTGATTGGTTGTTCTCTGCCTCGTGATTGGCTGCCGCGGCCTGAGCTTTCACCTGGCAACAGGCGGAGCCATTGTTCCGATTGGTCGGCGCCGAGCGCGGCCGCTGATTGGGCGGTGATGCCGGTGAGGCGAGGCGGGGCGGGAGGTTGGCCGGCGGGCGGTTGGCTTCGCGAGGCAGAAGATGGCGAGCGAGGAGCGGAGCGACTCCTGGCCCGCGGCCTCGGCTGCCGAGCAGCAACGGCGGCGGCGGCGGGAGGAGGAGGCGGCGGCGGCGTCGGCGGAGGAGCAGCAGCAGCAGGAGCACTGGGCAGGGCCTGGCCGGGCCGGGCAGGGCCTGCGGGACCCCGCCGAGGTGACGCCGGCGCCCCGCTGGGGAGCGCTGCACCCCGGCGCCAAGGAGCTGGCGCAGCTGTACTCCCCGAGTGAGTGAGTGAGTGCGCGGCACCGGCACAAGGTCAACCCGTCCCGCCTCGACCTGCTTGGCTTCCCCCCTCTGTACGTTCAAACCCTCTCTGCCGCCTCCTCCCCCCCCCCCCCTCCCCCCCCTCCGAGGCCTCGGCAACCGGGCGAGTCCGGAAAACTAACTGTGTGTCTGTCCCTGTCCCCGGCGGTGAGTGTCTGTGTCTTTTAAGCGTCTCAGGCCATGAGCGTCTGTCTGTCTGTGAGTATCTCTGTCTGTCTATGTGTGTCTGAGTGTCTATGAGTGTCTGTCTGTGTCTATGTATGTGTCTCTGTCTGTCTGTGTCTATGTATGTGTCTCTGTTTGTCTGTGTCTATGTATGTGTCTCTGTCTGTCTGTGTCTATGTATGTGTCTCTGTTTGTCTGTGTCTATGTATGTGTCTCTGTCTGTCTGTGTCTATGTATGTGTCTCTGTCTGTCTATGTATGTGTCTCTGTCTGTCTCTGTCTATGTATGTGTCTCTGTCTGTCTGTGTCTATGTATGTGTCTCTGTCTGTGTCTATGTATGTGTGTTTGTCTGTGTCTATGTATGTGTCTCTGTCTGTCTGTGTCTATGTATGTGTCTCTGTCTGTCTATGTATGTGTCTCTGTCTGTCTGTGTCTATGTATGTGTCTCTGTCTGTCTGTGTCTATGTATGTGTCTCTGTCTGTCTATGTATGTGTCTCTGTCTGTCTCTGTCTATGTATGTGTCTCTGTCTGTCTGTGTCTATGTATGTGTCTCTGTCTGTGTCTATGTATGTGTGTTTGTCTGTGTCTATGTATGTGTCTCTGTCTGTCTATGTATGTGTCTCTGTCTGTCTGTCTATGTATGTATCTCTGTCTGTCTGTCTATGTATGTGTGTCTGTCTGTCTATGTATGTGTCTCTGTCTGTGTCTATGTATGTGTCTCTGTCTGTCTGTGTCTATGTATGTGTCTCTGTCTGTCTGTGTCTATGTATGTGTCTCTGTCTGTCTGTGTCTATGTACGTGTGTCTGCCCCTGTCTGTGTGTATGTGTGTTAGTGTCTGTGTGTGTGTGTATGGAGATGCTTCTTCATTTTGCCCACAAAATGTACGGCTAATTCCTCTTTATTATAGTATATCCAGTGAAGCGCTTTGAGGCATCTCAATGGTGTGATAAGGCGCTCCCATCAAATGCAAGGATTATTGTTAGTATTAATATATACACGGCTGAGGACCATTACTGTCATCAAGTGATCCACCAAGTACAGGGTGACCAAAAAGTCACGATACCATTGGAATGTCTTAAAGAGATGGTGATAATTGTTAGTTATAATATTAGTATTATTCTAATTGTTAGTTATTAGTGAAATAAATGGTATCTCAACTATTTGATCACCCTGTATTTTTTTCAGGAATCTTATTTGAGAGATGAGAAAGAAGGAGGGGTGGGAGGAGGGAAGAAATATGCCGCTTCTCTTCAGCCCCTCGTCGCCACCCCCCCCCCCCCAAAAAAAAAAACCCTCAACAACCCAGGGTAAATTTTCTGAAATTTCCAAGACTCATTTTGAAGTGACGGCAGTTCAAGAAAGTGAGCCGAATGCTGCATAACAAAAAGAAACAAACAAAACTGTTGCATTATTTGACAAACACAACAGAGAGAGAGTTGGTTTAAATGAGACTCCTCCCCCCACCCCATTGTGGATAAACAAATTTTGCTGATAATTGGACATTATACAAAAGTACTACATGAGCTGCAGTGGACACTAAAAGAATTGTTCTATCGGAAATCTTACTGTCCCTTTAGTACTGCACTGTGCCAGCCTGTGTCTGCCTTTCTGTTCACTCGCTCTGTCTCCTTTTATGATTTTTTTCCTGTCTCTGCACACACACACAAATTGAGTACTAAAGGGTTGCTTTTGAACTCCAGCCAATAATTCTAATTGCGCATATGGGGCTGAGGTTACTACAGACGCTTAAATTGTGAGCTTAGCAACCCTGCATGTGCGCATTTATATTTGGGAAATATTTGGGAAGATCTGGTTAGAGTTAAGGACCAAAAAAGGAGCAGTTACGCTGGTAGGGGTATACTGAGACCACCAAATAGTGGGAAGGAAATAGGTGAGCAGATCTGCAAGCAGATCTCAGACAGATGCAAGGCCAATAGAGTCGTGATAATGGGGACTTTAATTATCCCAACATAGACTGGCAAAACAACAGCGCAAAGGGCAAGGAGGGGGAAATATTCCTAAAATGCATACAGGACAACATTCTTGATCAATACGTTTCACGACCAACAAGGAAGAAAGCAGTGCTGGATCTAGTTCTGGGAAATGAAGTAGGGCAAAGTGGAGCAGGTTTCATTGGGAGAGCATCTGGGTAATAGTGATCACAACATCATTAGATTCAGAGTGCCTATGGAAAGAGACAAGGAACCATCTAAGGTGCAGATATTCAACTGGAAGAGGGCACATTTCAGTGAGTTAAAAAGGGACCGAGCCAAGGTGGACTGGAAAGAAAGATTGGCAGGTAAAACAACTAAAGAGCAGTGGGAAGTCTTCAAGGATGAGATAGCTCGGGGACAGAATAAATACATTCCCACAAAAGGGAAAAGTAGGGCTTCCAAACCTCCCTGGATGATGAAGGTAATTGTATCTAGAAGGAAGCAGAAAAAGGAGGTGTATGACAAATGTCAAACCCAAGATACAGAAAAAACCAAATAGAATATAGGAAGTGCAGAAGAGGTTTGAAAAAGGAAATGAGAGGGACAAAAAGATTATACGAACAAAGGCCTGCGGGTGACATTAAAGGGAATTCTAAAATATTTTACAAACATATCAAGAAAAAAAGGCTCGTCAAAGGTAGGGTGGGGCCAATTAAGGACCAAGGGGGAAATCTTATTGTGGAGGCAGAAGGCATTGCTGATGTGCTGAATGAGTACTTTGCATCTGTCTTCACAAAAGAAGTGGATGCACCAAATGCCGCAGTATCGGGTAGAGGAAATGGATAGGATAAGTATAAACGGAGAGGAAGTACTGAAAAGGTTGACTGCGCTGAAGTCGCCCGGTCCGGACGGGATGCAGCCAAGGTTACTATGGGAGGCACGGGTACAAATAGCGGAGGCTTTGGCTACAATTTTTCAATCTTCATTGGACACAGGAGTGGTGCCAGACGACTGGAGAGTGGCCAATGTGACTCCCCTGCACAAAAAGGGACAGAAGTGCAAACTTGGGAACTACAGACCAGTCACACAATCACACTTTTGAGTAATGTTTGCCTTGAAACCAAAGGTTTGAGCAGTATATTGTATCTGAGCTTGCCTTGAAAATAAATTCCAGCAGTTTTGTTTTTAAAAATTGCTGGAGCGTTTCTGGTTGCCACCAACATTCATCCCTTTTTCCTTGCAAATTTTGTGGTGTGTAGTTGCACGCTCTACAAGTGGAAAGAAAATGGTATTTTCCAGGGTTACGATGATCTTGGTTGACATAAGTCAGGGGTTACTGCTAAGTAATACATTTGGTTTATAGATGGAAATAGCCATTACAGAAAGATAATCATAAAGATTAGTGGCAACCTATGTGATGACAAGACTTAAAATAGATTGAGGCTTCATATATTATAAAAGGGCAAGATTGGCCTTGAAATGTTGCACAGCTTCTGGTGTGTTCAGTCATCTGAAACCCAGGGATGAAGTTGCAGTCTTCAAGTTGCTTAGGGTACAACGTATGCACACGACATACAGTAAGTATATTGATATAGCGCTTTTCACGTCTTCTAGGCGTCTCAAAGCGCTTCACAGAATATACTTTAAAGTGAATTGACTGTATATTTGCGCACAGCAGTGTCTCACTAACAGTCGTGGACTGAAGTGACCAATTTTATTTTTTTCTTGAGGGGCAGACTATACAGACACACTGAGGACTTAATAGTTTTAACGCAACCACTCCAAGTGTACTTTGTAGTTTCCTGGGAAATTGTGTTGCAGTAACTACTCACTCACAATAAAGCTGTTCTCAAGATTGCTCTAAAAGCAAGAGAGCAAAGTACATCCTTGTTTGTACACATTCGGCTGACATAATAATGTAAGTTTCTTTTAGAGGGGCTCTGTCAGGAGTTGGCCTTGTGTCGTTGGTTACTTCAGTTACCTAATGTCACTTCAATTCTTTATATTTGTGTGTTTGCTAGATTTTTTTTAACAAGCATGACTAGAAGGTTATGCTTGAAGGCTTAGTTGAGGAAGGGCAGGAGGAGGCTCATGTGGAGCATAAACACCGACATAGACCAGTTGGGCCGAATGGCCTGTTTCTGTGCTGTATATTCTAATGTAAGTCTTTTTTTTGTTGTGTGAGATCTGAGTGTTTGGTTTGTCTTGTATGTCACTGTAAAAAGGTGTTAAAAAAAAGTCTGCTGATCAAGCAGACTGAAACTCAACCGCTAACAATGCTATGTAATCCAGTAAATTATGTTTTATTATTCAAATGATATACGACTACTTTCTAAATTAATTTTTTTTTAATGTCTCTGCAGTGAAAAGATTTCAGGAATGGGTGTGCGTTGTTGTTAGCATTATTCTGATGAATTGCAACTTCTATCACCTGGTTATAAATTTCAGCTGGGAGCACATCCATCTGATCCTCACTGGAATTAGTAAGTAAAAGTTTCAATATTTCACAAAATGCCTCATTTAATGATACGTTGTTTTTCATAGCATAGGTTCTGCGCTCGGTTCATAGGTTTTCCTTCTGTGCCTCTATTTCCTTTTCTGTATTTTTTTCTTCTTCCTCAAGCCTGAGCCAAAAGCACGACATGTCGTGCTGTGCTGCTGAGATCAGCTAAACAGACCAGGGATTGAACCTGGTATCTTAAGTGCCTTACCAGGTGGTGCAATTGCACATTGACTTCTTTTTTTTGCTGCATTTGCTACAACTGACTCTTTTTGCTTCTCGTCAGTTATCGAGGGAGGCTTTGTTGCAACCTTGATAATGTTAATCTAATCATATTCCTGAATGCACGGATGGACCCAATATTACTTTAAATCAGAAAACGTGCGCAATCAACTGTTCTAGCAAAGGTGTTGAGAAATACTCCAGGAAATTATAATGATATTCTGAGCTTTGGAGTCTCTTCGGGATAAAAATGTTAGGCCTTGTAATATTGTGTGTTTATGTTGGTTCTTCTACAGACAATTTTTTTGGGTGCTTTGTGGTGTAATAGTGATTGAAACCCAACATTAATGTTTTCTATTGCCATTAAGGGTCAACTAAGCTGGGTAAGAGAAGTATAAGTGACTCAGATTTTTTTATTGCCTCCTGCTTACTCATACTCGACTTACTAGAACTCCCTTAGCAACATAGGCACAAACAGAGGAACACAATTTCAAACTTTGATGTTTTTTTGCTCCAGTTGTCAGTAGTAAAACTTAACGAGAAGAATGTTGTTTTTTTTTTACTGGACCTGTAAATAGGGCTGATGTTATGCAATCGACTTTGGTAACCTGCATTTACATTTCAGGGTATTTTCTTTCACTGCTATTGCTTTTACTGCGATCCTGCGCTTGTCTTTGTAAAGAGTTGCGGTCAATAAATACAAGGTAACCCCGTAATAATGGTCTGCTATACATGCTTAGAATGCGAGTTTATTGTGGATCCCGCTCACTGGAAGTGGGTGACACCAGGCTTCCAACCCTTGACTAGCCAACTTCTCATACTAAAACATGGGTGACTTCAGAGTGGCCACTGATGTTACTTCACGCACAACAAATGTTGCTAACGTCACTCCCTGTACACTGCGGATTTGTGCAACATACAGAAAATAATGTCAGCTGAGACCTGAAGGCGAGGAAATCAAACTTTTTTTTAGCACTCAGCAGGTGAGAGACATTGAATCCAGCCAACAGCGCTATAATGAAGTTTTTCTCTTATGTTTCTGCTTAATCTTGTTCTTCAGAAACACTTGCATGTCCTTTAGAACCAATCAGCTGACATACTTTCCCCCTCTCCTTTGGAAACTGATATCTGGAAATAAAACCTTTTGTGAGGTGAAAGATTCAAATCTTGTTCATGAATGAAGATGTCCAGTCGCTGAAGATATTCAAATTAGTATTGGCAACCAGCCAACAATTGCATGAAAAACTGCTTTTTTAATTTAGCTGCTTTTTTAAATATGTAATATAATAATAATAATCCTTGCATTTGATACAGCATTTTCACGTCTTCTTGACGTCTCAAAGCGCTTCACAGAATAGACTGTAAAGTGAATTAACTGTATATTTGTGGGCAAAACGCAGCAGCCAATTGCGCACAGCAATGTCCCTCAAACAGTTGTGGATTGAAAATGACCAATTTATTATTGTTTTGTTTTGGGGGGATTATTATTAGACGTGTGAAGTAAGGAAACTTGCCCAAGGCCCTGCCTGGAATTGAACCCAGGTGTCTCGCTTGCAAGGCGAGTGCTCTAACCACTGAGCTACAGGACTCCACGAATTTATGTAGTGAATTTGCCAAAATTGTTTGAGTAATCCTTCATGACAGAAACACGTGATTTATTTAAATGTGATTATATTGTGTCTTTGACCTATGTGTCAGGCATTATTGCAACGATATTGGTATCATAAACTGGTAAAGCATCTATTTACTGATAACTGTATTTGAGATGTAGTAAATACTTACACATGATAATGTGCTTTAAATTACACAGATGGTTTTTTATTATGTCTTGATTGATGCTTGGAGAAATGCAGCTTAAATAAATGAACAGGTAGTCAGCTCTTTTCTGCTGGTCGTCTCTTTCATGCAAAGTAGATGATTTATCATCTGGAACAATATAAATTGTATTGTTTAGAGTAAGGTTGAATTTGATTTTAATTACTGTTAATGGTGCCTTTTAATGGAGTTGGATATATTTTCTGGTTGGGATTGAAAGTCAGAGCAAAGTCCTGCCCCCACCATATCATGCTTTCTGATTGATCCTCTCTTCCCTTCTCCTTCCCTTCAGATGAGTCAGCTTAACACTCCTAAATTGAATATATTTGGCAGTGATGAGTCCTAGTGATGACTTCTTTTTGTGACATCTATAGAAAGCCTCCCCTTTCCTCCCTTCTCCTTTTAACGTATTTCCTTACCAGCTATCCTCTGCTTCATCCCCTTCAAACATAGACACATCTTAAAGTGGGCTTGTTTATAACGTGGGTTTGTTGGCGTGTGGACCCTGACATTTGCCTTCCCAAATATCCAAAAAGCCGTCTAGAAGGCTGGAAGCCAAACTGACCAACTTTCATGTCGTCGAAGTCAGTTCATGCACAGTGAAAGCAGAAGTGCTGACCTGTGATCTGTTAAAACACAATTTGGGATTTTATGGACAATGCGCACACAATAACGAAATTACATTTGTATAACGCCTTTCGTGTTGGGAGGATGTCCCAAGGCGCTGGGCAATCAATGTTTCGGATCCGAGATTGGGGAGGGTGGAGGGCGGGGGGTAGTGAGGGTGATCGAAAGCACAGTCGAAGAGGAGGATCTTGAGATGGGTCTTGAAGGAAGGGAGGGAGCGAGGTGGAGGAACTGCGGGATGGAGTTCCAGAGGGTGGGTGCAGGGTGGCTGAAGGCCCATCCAATGGTTGGGTGGGCGAGGCGGGGATGTGAAGCAGGCCGGAGCCCGCTGAGCTCAGGGTTCGGGCAGATTGCTGGGGGCTTAGGAGGTCGCAGAGGTAGAGGGGAGCCCATGGAGGACTGTGTGAAGGCATTTATGAGGTGAAAATTCCAAACTCTGTATTCTCTGTGTGACGGGAATCCAGTGGAGTCAGGCGAAGATGGGGGTGATAGGGTCACGGAGCCCGGTGCGGGAGGAGACATGGGCTGCAGAGTTCTGGATGATCTGCAGCCTATGGAGGGAAGAGTTGGGGAGGCCTCCAAGCAGGGAGTTTTCATAGTCAAGCCTGAATGTTATGAATGTGTGTATAAGGGTTTCGGCGGCCTGCAGTGTGAGACGGTGGCGGAGCCGGGCGAAGGTTGGGGACAGCAGAGCGGGTCATGGCACGGATGTGGCGTAGAAAGGACACACACACTACTGTGTTCTAAAGGAGTTCCACTGTATTAATCATGTCCACTGCATTATTCATGTCCATGGATAGTTTGCAAAGGAATTTTGTGTGGGAAACACCGATTCCCTTTATCAGCCTGACTACTACCCCTTACCAGGATTGTTGCTATCAAATTAAGAGGTCACCCTTAGTTGCTCGGGTGGTTGTTTTGATAAGATTACGAAGCAGGAGTATTATTATTAGAAACTGCACGGATCTAAATGTAATTAGGTTCAGTGTACAGTGGAGTGATATCTCTTATGAACACTTAAATAGTTTATATTCTTAAATATCCCTTTGCTTCTTAGAAACTGGAAGCTTTTTCCCCTTCAGTTCTGGTTTTAAAGAACACGAGCAAAAACAACTATGAGCCTTTAAGCGTACGGCCACAACCGCTGACAATTGACAGGTCAGCAGTACAAATGGAAATTGCACTTGGGTGAAGAAGTTGCCCTTGAAGGTGGTGTCAAATTTCTAGTTACTCTTAAGATCGTTGGTTGATAATTGGAACTAATTTCCCAATGTAATAGTCATGTAGGTGACCACCTTTTTGTGAAGGTATCTTGTTGCATTTAAATCTTATCTACTCGTCTAACTGGTTGCTTTTGAAGCTGCTTTTTTTATTGTAGACGGGTCAGCACCAATGTCACAACATGAGAGATAATTGTGGCTAAGTTGCATTTGCAATGCAAATGACAGCCTTTGATTGATGGGATGGTTTACAGTCCAAGCAAATATATTTCTAAAGTGTAATATAACAGCTTATTGAAACCAGCAGTCTGTGGTGTTCCTGTTTCTTAGTAACTGTTTTTATAAAGTAAAGATAGATTCTACCCAGTGATTGGACTCTTTACCTCATTACGCTATTATATACGCGTTACCTTATCTGTACATCTCACTTGAATATGTAGGTAAATACTTGGATAGTAGAGATATTAAAGAGTATGGCAAAAGGGCAGGGCATTGGAATTAAAAGATCTGTTCAGATCTTAAAAAAAACAAGTGGAACTGGTGCAGTGGGCCTTCCTGTTCCTGATTTCTTGCACAACAACAGAGGACATAGTGACATTTGTTTGTGTGTCCTGATTTAATTTTCTTCTTCCTGGAAAGCTGAGTAAAGTCTACTCTGTTCGCAAACTGCTCTTACAGCTTTGGAATAGATCTGAAGGTTCAGAACTTTCAACGAGGTCTTATACATTTTACTTTTTTTTAAAAAAAAAGAACTTGTTTGATTTGCTTTTAAGGTAGATTTTATGGGTGGGGTTGGGGCTATTTCAAGGCTACTCAAGCCCCAGGTCAGTCTAAGATGATGACACTCCAGTGCAGTTTTGGGAGCAGCACTACGTTGTTAGAGCTGCCGACCCTTTCAGTACGATATTAAACTGAGCACCTATCTGTCTGTTTAGGTGGATGTTCGAGATACCATGATGGCGTTTGAAAATGGAGAGGGGTTTCTCCCCATATCCGGGGCAAAATTCCCCCAGATAAAAAAAAAAACATTTAATGCTGTGATAGTCGAGTGATATTATTGTCCATAAATTGGCTGCCACGTTTGCCTACCAATAATATAGTCACTATTTGAAGTGTCTTTTTAAAAAATCCTTTGAAGCACTTTGAGATGTTTCAACAATGTCATAAGGTACTGCTGTATTTCAATGCAAAGATGATTATTTATTTACAAGATTAATAAATTAAGCCATTTTTCCCTTGCTACTAGAATGATTGAACATGTATTTCGGGTATTGTTTGTTTATTTAGGAGAAATGTACTACTGTAAAAGTTTATTCCGTTCCCCCTAGCCTCCGCTGGAGGAATATTTTAGGTGGGGCGCGGTGAAGGAAGAAATTAGTCACTTATATCCATGTTGGTGTTTGACTCCTGGGGCTGCAGAGTGTTTTTAAACTGGCTAAATATGCTATCCTGGGTTTGACTGTCTCACAAAGATTAATCCCAATGAAGAACTGTACTTCATTTATTTATTCATTATTAATTAACTGCAAACGTTGCTGGGCTCAGTATGCACACAGCGACAATTTGACGTTAGTTGGTGGTGAACAATTTAGATGTAGACTGAGTGGCAATTTAATACTAAAATAGCCTCTAATCATTAGATTATTCCAATCTGTATCCAGGTCAATACTTGACACTCTCTTAAATTATATTTATAGCTAACCATGCACAAATCTGTGGTTGAAGAGATTTAAAAAGAACTTGCAGTTCCTGCATTTGCTGTTTATCTTTTAATCCCACCATGTCTACTGCTGAAACCTGTTAATTCCACCTGTCCATGCAATGCAACTGTAAGAACTCACATGGAAATGCAGCTCAGTACGTTAGGCAGAGCCGTAAGACTAATTCAGTTAGTTTTGAATTGTCATTTATTCTAACTTTATGCAATTTTTTTTCCAGTTGCAGGAATGATCACTGCTGACTTCGCTTCAGGATTGGTCCATTGGGGGGCAGACACGTGGGGGTCTGTTGATCTGCCTATATTTGGCAAGGTACGCGATGTGATGTTCCTGGGCTGTTCTAGATACTAAGGAAAAATGTTCTTGTACAAAACGGTTATTGGTCTAGAGACATACGCGGCAGTCAAACATTGCCACAGTTTTGCCAAGCTCTTGTTTTCCTCTGTGCATGAAGACCAGTTCTGTTCTCAAAATATTCCCTGAATCAGTGGCATGGTTACGCAGAGCTCTCTGCTGAATGACTGGAGCTTGATTCCTGGGGGTAGGGAGGTGGAGGGAAGAGTTGCAACTTTCAGGGTAAAGGGTCTTCCTGTTACTTACCCCTACCTTAAATTCTACCATTAAAAAGGTAAATGTATGTGTTTGTGTATTACGTACGGCAAATGTTGTCACGATGCCAGATTTGGTGTTCAGCCAGATGGGAAGATGTAATCACTCTCTGTTAGAACTTTAGTGGCTTATTCATCCTCAGACATCAAATAACTCCAGCTGCCTTGCTTGAACTGTTGTCACTAATAGCAACTGGGTGGTGCCTACAGGATGGAAGATGCTCTTCATTGAGCCTGTTACACGGAGTGTTTTCTCTTCCCAACATTTTTGGAGTTAATCAGTCCCAATAGTCCCTTTGTAGTATTTCTAGATGGTCTTCTTTCACGACAGCAGGATACAAGTGCCAAGTTGCTGCTGTACTGTTCTAAAGCAGGTATTCTTGGTATTTCTGGTAGCCTGTTAGCTACCTCATTATAATGCTATAAGAATGCTTAGCTCCCTCCACCCATCTAAGAAACAGCTGTTCTAAAAATCAGTTGAGCAAATAAAATCAAAACAACAACTATGTTTTGTTACCTTAATTCTCCCTCATTATATCCCTGGTGAGATTTTTGCTTTAAGCAGATTTGACTGAAGCTGGTGCCGCATTCTGTCCATTGCCTTTGGGAATACGGGCTAAAACAATGGCAATTTCTAAATGTGCTTATATTGATATTGTTTATTCCATAATAATTTAGAGTGCTTCTCTCCCTTGCAGGCTTTCATTAGACCGTTTAGAGAACATCATATTGACCCCACAGCTATAACTCGTCATGACTTCATAGAAACCAACGGGGACAACTGTATGCTTACTGTGATTCCCTTGGCCAACATGGCCTATAAGTTTGTTACTCTGTCCCCAGGTATGTTGAACTGATATGAGTTATTAGTTGATTATTTCTAATACTTGCATTTGATACAGCGCCTTATCACGTCTTAGAGACATTTCAAAGCGCTTCATAGAATTTAGTGGAAAGTGAATTGACTGTACACTTTGTGGACGAAACGTGGCAATCAATTGCACACAGCGATGTCACGCAAACAGTCGTGGATTGGATGACCCAATTTATTTATCTTGTATGCAATTAAAGCAAGGAACGAGAGAGAAATAAATAAATAAATGTGGAAAATGTGCCTTTGCTCGCCAAAAGAGTATGTTTTTCAGGAAAATAGATTTTCAAACTTGGGCAATTATTCTGGTAGCAATTGAAGCAAACTTTGTTTCCCATTTCCAATTCAGCAAAATTGGAAATACTCGTGTAGGCTTTTAAAGGACAGTTGCTAGGTGATGCACAGCATCTGCACAATTTGTGATCGCTAACAAGGAAATTTGCAGATCACTCAACTCTTGTCTATTTATGGGCACCTTAACAGCCAGAAGAATGAAACATTTTTAGAATAGCGACGGCAGTGTCTTTTCAGCACTTTAGAGAACAATGAAACTTTCACAAATGCACAGGGAGAAGTGAAAACTGAGGTGAACATCAGTTAGGCTCCCTGGAAGGGTTACCACGATCCTGTTCCAACTTAGTCTTGTGATGTAAATATCCCAGTTACAGAGTCTTGAGTTTAAGTCCTTAACCCCAAATTCTGGGGCCCTTAAAACCAAGTTCCCTGCTGCCTTCTGGCAGTGTCCAAGTCAACAATGTCGCGATTATCTCAAATTCATCTGTTGTGTCAGATTGACTTCTATAACTAAGTGAGGATAACGCTTTGCCAAAAGGCTGAGAAGTGAACGCCTCCAGAGATGGAGAAACCTTGTCAGCAGATTCCAGCTGCCAAATCTGCTGTTTTAGCAACTCGTATTACAATTTGTGCTCTCACCACCATACACACACACACACACACAATTTGATGCATGTGTGAATAATTAATCTCCCATTGCAAAACACCATTCTCACTTTAAAAAAAGTTTATTTTTTATCGTTGTAGTTCTTCTGTACCTTTTGTATTGATTTTGCAGCAGTGCTTTTGTTACGTCACACCCAAAAAGCAGGATAACCGTAGCCTTAATATTTACCACACCACACCACCAGTTTCTAAATATTAAGTATTATTTATCTAAGCATTACAAGCATTATTTATCTTCAAGCATTAAACGGTGCCCATGGATGCAATGAGTCTGTATGCATTCACCTGCTTTTTGTTATTCTATAGCACTGTGAGCAAGTAGAATGAGTGCAGTTCTCTGCCCCTTCTGGTTCTAAAATACTATCAGATGCACTAATTGACGCAGTGACTTCAGCATTAAACCAAACTTGTAGAATATCTGAGTAACTGCTGCTTTAGGAAAGTAATTGACTAACTATTCCAGCCGGAAAATTTTAGTATTGGTGTTTCATGAACTATTTAATTTGATGAATAGAGTGGTTATTGGAATAGAGATTAGACATATTCTCTGTATCTTCCTAATTGATCACATTGAGCAAAATGTATGGCATAGCACCACCCACAGGATTGTGGAGCAGTTTCAAGCCTGTGTGCTTTTGACATTTCGCAATGAATTTGGTTGGGTGGAATCTTACGCTCTAAGTATATTGGATACGTACTTTATTTTCGAAAAAAAATACCTGCTTTGTTCTCAACAACTGCATGCTGAAAATGCTTTGTAATATCCTAACACATTAATATAAAATTGATCTGTGTTTTGCCCCCAAATAATCCCAGGACAGGCAAACCCACAAGTTGATACAACATTAATCTCCTTTAAGCTACCCATTGTGCATTAACCACTGGTTAGGAAGACTTCCTCCCACCCCGACGAAATAATAAACATTTCTATTTTTCACAACAACCATCCTTTAAAGACTTCTGAGTTTGTTTCGCTCACAAACTGTACAGTCAATTCACTTTACAGTATATTCTGTGAAAAGCTTTTAGACATTTAGAAGACATTCGTCCCATATTATGAATCGGTATTATGTCTAATGGAGACTGTCCAGACTCCAGTGCATGTTTGCAAATCTTATCTAATCAGTTTAGAGACTAATCACAGATTATATCATCCAAACATCTGTGCCATGATGAGGAGGTTGATGTGCGGTGACTCAAATTTTGCATTCTCTATTCATAAAAGTACTGTACAAGAATTCAGAAGATTCACTTCTACCAACACTGATTTCATACCACCTCAGATTGGATTGGCAAACCCTAGAGGGAAGGTTTTTTATGTTGGTTTAATAGAAACTATTCAGACTGGTTGTGTAAAGAAAAATGAAATTTAGAAAAAAGTAAATGTTTTCATAATCTTGACAAATGTTCTACCGTAAAGGTGTATACTTAATAGGCAATGTCTACCTTCCAAGATGCTTCTTAATTTAAATGGACTTTTTTCTACAGGAGCCATCCGTGATACATATCCTTGGGAGTGCTACGTCTTTGCTCTTGTAATATTTGTGACTCTAACCAACCAGATTCATAAGTGGTCTCACACTTACTTTGGGCTTCCTTGGTGGGTCATCGTTTTACAAGATTGGCAGATCATTCTGCCACGAAAACATCACCGTATTCATCATGTATCTCCACACGAAACCTATTTTTGTATTACTACAGGTAAGGAATTAGAATCTGTTATCTATACAACCTGTGTTATACTGAATGCTTCTAGTTACAAAATTAATAACTATATAAACCAGATTATAATCAGCATTATGTAGCATTATGATCATATACCAATTGGTCTGCACAGTGGCTGATGTTTTGCTTCAGGTGATTTTTTTTCCCCCTGAAAAAAGGCCCAAGATCGCAAAGATTTTTCTCAAGATCACAAACTGCAATTAACGCAGCTCATCTGCTTCTGAATATTGCATTTTAGACCCCCGTTGTAAGTTCATATCACTGATGTGATTTAGTGTATGGAAATTTTCTCTATCAGAACATTGGTGTGCACATATTCTGGTCTTTATTGAATGTAGTTTGAACCTAAATCTGAAACGAACCGGCCATTTCAACTTTAGTTGAGTTTACTTTCATGTGTTGATTCCACTATGTTGAAAAACTAATTTATGAATTAAATAATTAAATGAAATATATATGTATATAATATATGAATGAGATTTCAATTAAATGGGATGATGTAGATGTAACGTTTTGAGAGCACCTTGTACATTGTTTTTTTTCTAAATGTTTCAGGTTGGTTAAACTATCCCCTGGAGAAAATACGATTCTGGAAAACTCTGGAGGACATTATCCAAGCAGTAACTGGGGAAAAACCCAGGGCCGATGATTTGAAGTGGGCTCATAAAACAAAGTAACTTTTTGCCAATGTTTTGACTTTATAAACTTCTTTTTGCCAACTAATTGCATCAGCCAAATCTACGAAACTGTACCAGAAGGGGATCTTTTGAAATATATATCACTTCAGAAGAGAAGAGAAGTTCTTATAAATCATAATGGGTGTTTCAAGGAACTTAAAAAGTACTTGAACAAATACCTTTTTGTTCAGCCATTTCTGTTTTCAAATTGTACAGTTTGCTGTTTGAACATTATTACATACAGCATAATATGAACCGCATAGAATGTCTGTTGCACTTAAACTTAAATTAACTAGGTCAATTGAAATGAATGATCCAACTCTATGGAAGTAAGTAATAGAATTTCATGTGTAAATCATGGAGTGTGAAAAGATACAAAATTGTGGTGTCCATATGGTGCTTGCGCTTGTACTATGATATTGATAAAGCCTTAAACTGTTTGTTTGCCAGAGATATTTTATGGTATTATTTTGAATGTATATATAGTTTAAAGGAAATACTATTCATACTATTTAGAGCTGACTTTAAAGTTATACTTTACAAGTGCTTGCGAATAGTGATAGACAATCAGGCCTGAGTTCACAAATGTTTTGCCGCTATTAACAATACAACAATAATTTAATTCTATACCACGGAAGTGGTTCAATACTAAAAAAAAATTAGTATGATTTGGTTAAACTGACTACTCACTTTTTCATAATGAGACACCAATGATGCACCTTTGGGGAAAAAAAAGTATAATTTACCTTGGAATATAAAGCACCTTCCACATTATCGACTGTTTAATTTTTGTTCTTCAGTATTCCGTGATTGGTAAGATGTCTTATAGCTTAAATTCTTATTGTTAACTTCTAAATTATTGAGATGTTCGAAATGCACTGTTTGTTAACTCACGCTCCAGAATTAAAGACTATTTCTATTAGTAAATCTACATAGTAAGATTTGCTTCTTTAGTGATTTAACTATCCATATCAAGTTAAACATAACTTAAACTGTTCTGTAAATAAAGCCTTGATGAACAGCTATATTGAACTCACAACCTGCCTCATTAGAAATGCAGTCATCATTTGCATTAATAAAAGTCAACAGAATCAGTAAAGTAGAAATATCAAATTAGTAAAATGTTGTGATCTTTGCATGTACCTCTGACCACAACTACAGGTCAATATTTGAAATCAGTGCCCAATAATTACTCAGCTCTATTTTTCAATGTGCACTGTTGAACAATGTTATTGTATTGAAACTAATTACAAGCTTCTCTCATTTCAAGTTGAGGAAATTGGTGATTTTTTTAAGCAAAAATGTTAAAAAATACTAATGGATTAGTTATAACAGGGTCCAAACTGATGTTTTGCATTGTATATCACTAGTTGTGAGATTGTGCTGAACTGCCTTTATTTTGCAAAGCAACTTATTTTTCTGGTGTAGGCCGGACTTGTATATATCTGAAAAAACAATGTTAACAGATTTTTGTTGTTGTTACTTTTGCTTCCAACCCTCTGTGAAAGTTTTACTGCTTTTTGTCAGCAACCCAACAGTCACTTTGTCTACCTGATCACTGACACGTTTGTTCATAAATTCCTTATTCCTAATAATGCAAGTTACTCAGTAGTAAATTCAAATAAATCCAATTCAGTTGAGTCCTGTATAGGGTTGGCAAGGCAGTGAGAAATAAACAAATCATTACAGTTGTTGGAAAGTACCCATTTGCAGAAGTTACTGATGCTTTTTGCATGTAATGCAATATATAGTCAACCTGTCAAAGTGATGTTGGAATTAAGTTTCACTGAATGTGTAAATTTGGGCTGAAGTGTTTCATTACAATGTTGTTTTGTTGGCATCAGGAAGGTTTTTTTTTACTAGCTGTGCAGAAACATGTAAACCAGCAAAATGTTCAGCCTCCAGCCGGTGTATTGGGAACATTGATTTTGTATAATTTATGGTTTTTAAATGGGGAGAGTTTGTTCTTTGTACAGTCACGCAGATGAATGCAGATCTTTCTTTAAAAAAAACAATATTTAAAGTCAATTGTAACAAAGCACTGGTCCTCAGAAGCCATTTCATGAAAAAGCTTCAGTACTCATCTGTTTGGTGTGAAGCTTTGTTACTGGGACCATTCCAGTTTCCTTTACCATAATCATGCTTGCATTGGCTCAGCACAGATGCCCAACGCATCGAAGCACATATCCAGTGCTTTGATTTTCATTCCCCACCCCCATTCAACAAGAAAGCTTTGTGGCAGCCTTTTAAAGGCTTCTGTTTTTAGGTTGTTTAAGACCTGTAACTCTGGATAATCTGATGCATTATGTTAATCGTTTATTTCAGAGTATACCATAAGTGTGTTACAGTAAAAAAAAAGCTTTCACCAGTACATGTTAAAGTATGGAAACATGTATTGTAATTTTATAACTTGCTCAAGTAAACGTATTTGAAATAAAAAAACATGAAATCACAATGTGTCCAGTGGTCTAACTCATATCTTGGACTACATATTTCACCTACAAAATATACAGCCAATATACTTTATATACTTTACACTATATTCTATGAAGTGCTTTGAGACGTCTCAAAGACATGATAAGGCGCAATATCAAATGCAAGGATTATTATATTATTTCCTTTGAAAACCATTCCATGCCCATTAGATTTTCAGCTAACTTTGTAATAACATTGAAAATTCTCTTTCATGTGAGCATTATTTTACTAAGAAATCTTTTCCTCCCAAAGCAAGAACTACCTTTTCACTGACTCAAAGGGCAAATTAGGTAAGAATTTTCTATCCTACAGTATTTTCTGCATGATTGTATTACATGGTTGTTTGTACATATATTGTGTTTCAGTAGTGTAGTGACTAGATAAGCAAAGGCATTTTTGTTGCCATAATTGAACCACGGTTGTTCACATATTTAAATTCATACAAAATCTAACAGTGTTCATTTCCATAGATTTACAAATTACTTTTTCTGGAATATCAGTCAGTTTCCAGTCGTCGTGCAGTTGCCTTCGCTTAAACAAAGGCAACAAATGGTGTCCACATTGAAGTGCTGCAAGGGTATCTGAACCTTCTGCATAAGCTCAAAACCTCTATAGGATACCAACAAAATTTAGGCATTTCTGGCGGCGGATTCTCTACCCAACAGTGTCAGTAGGAGTGTCAATGTCATCTGGAGTTCTGTCTTCTATATCCATAAACTCAAGTACAGAGTTAACCTTGGTTTGATGGACTGGCATTACAGGAGTGTGCTTTCGGCTGTGGGAAAATTAGGCTTTGCTAAGTAATAATATCTCCCTGCAACCATTTTGGATCAAAAATGTGACCCATCTGTCCATGTTAGCTTGATTCACTGCTATCATGCTTTCCTCTAGCACAGAATTGAATCTAAATTTAAGATGACATTTCAGCGCCCTGGGATGTCTTTCCGATGTGAAGGGCGTTATCCAAGTGTGATTTGTTGTTGCTGCTGCTGCTGCTGCTGCGATAAAGTTGTGCGGGTGAGATCTTAAATCCTAGTCTTGTCTCTATTTAGGTGGATAATAAAAATACACAGGCATTGTTTTATTACTGATATTTATTATTAAAAAAGGATTTCTAATAGTTTACCGGCCAATTATTGCTCATCCAATTCATTTTATCTCTCCCACCCCCTAAAATATACTACAACAGCAGATTAGGGTTTTTTTTTTTTACAATGTATAATAATAATAATCCTTTTGCATTTGATATATTCGAACGGTGGCATTAAATAAAGCCACTGAAGCACGTCACCGTGCGAAACGCGGCGGTGTGATTAAAACTGCAGAAGTTTGCAGATTACTGCTTGTGCCCAGCTCCTACGGCCAAACAAGCCGTGGCGTTTTGCCCACTGCAGTGCACAATCCAACTCGTTTTACGGTGTATCCTGCGAAGCGCTTTGTGCCACGTATCGAAGACGTGATAAGGCGCGATATACATCAAACGCAAGGCTGGGGCTGGTGGTGGTGGTGGTGGTTGTTGTTGTTGTTGTTGCTATCATCACGAAGCACTGATCGTGCACGGTCCCGGCGGGTTCGGGTCGGCCGGTCGGTCAGGAAGGAGTGGGCGGGTGGAACTTTGCAAAGCTCACAAGAACTTGGCATTGCAAAAGCGGCGGCGAGGGCTGCGGCGGAGTCGCCGGGACGGCCCTGGTGCAAATTGATAGCATTGCGGCGCGAGTGCAGTGTTTTCCTTCCACCCACGTTGGGGGGAGGGGAGGAGGAGGGGAGGAGGAGGGGGGGGGGGGGGGAGAGCTGCAGCAGCTGCAGTGCTTAAACCGCAGCAGC